GAGCGTGACAGGTATCCTTAGTTGAAGGCCTCACTACTAGTGTGGAAGAGTTGTTTTTAATAAGCAATAAGCAATAACTGTGGGACGTCTGTGGTTGTATTAGCAATGTTGACAGCTGAGGCATATATGTGCGGTGCGCTAGTCCGTGATAGGCAGCCTATGGCCAACAAAAGTTAACTATGGAAAAGTGTTCGAGCTACTATCCCCTCGTCTGGAAACCAGGCACAATTAGCGCGGTTTTTTAGCGTGTACGTTAGCGTATTAAAAACGCGAAAACTACTGGATTATATGACAGATCGGCTGTATTAGAATGTTTTAATGTAATTTATGTAATCTATTCAATCTAACGTAATCGATAAGCGAGCGAGCCACATAAGCAAGCGAGCCACTTCCCACCTACCAATACAACAAGAATGCTCTTCAAGTCCTGAATACAACCCAAAATTAACAAACTGATATTATCAATTATTTCCTGTACGCTTAGAGCATGTACGGGCAGTATGCCCAATAATCCCACATACACTACACTGTGGTGCTGCACGTCTTCGTGGTTGGGACTCAGCAGCCTCAACCACCCCTCTTTCCCATTCATTGATGCTTCGTACGCGATCCAAGCCTTCTTCCACCCCCAAAGCTCCCTCTTAGGCTACATATGTACGGCCTCTTTCTCGCTTTCTCTTTTATTTAGCATTTGTAGCCCTTAACTCCCTATTTTCAGCTGCTATAATAGCAGCACTATGCATTGCCATTTGACATACCTTGACCAGCTGATTTAGGGCACGATCAGTTGGGTTGAGTGGGCTCTGCGTACGGTGCTTAATATATCCTTTAACTTTCTTAGTCTGCTGCTCTAGCTGGTGTATATTATGTGGTGTAGCCATGGCCCAGGAGGCCTGAGAGCTATGAGAGGTCCCAGGTGGGGTGGGGGTATGCATTGTGGTATTAAGGCGCGAGAGAACCTGCTCAGGATTGTATGGAACCAGTCCAGCTGCCCTGAAACTGCTCTTGATGTTGTTCTCAGTCAGAGCCTGCATCTGAGCTGCAGGATATAAGGCCAGAAACTCCTCCTTGTCAATATGATTGATCCCAAGCCGCATCTGATTCTCCACCTGTCGTCCATATGCAGTTTTCAATGGGGAGAAGCACCCAACATCCAGTGGCTGAAGAAGATAAGAGGAATGTGGTGGCATGTAGAGAGCAATGATCTGATTCTCAGAGCAGAATTGATCAAATTCAGCTGAGGCATGGCTTCGGTGCCAGTCTAGAATCAGCAGTCGGTATCTGCCCTTTGTACGGGGTAGAGTCTCCTTGTTGAACACCTCTTTCAGCCAGTACAAGCCCAGCTGGTCAGTGGTCCAGCCATTCTCACTGACTCCAATCACCCAGTCATGCGGCAGCCCTTCAGTCTCATACCAAGAGGACTGATGCATCTTTCCCTTGAGGATAATCATTGTACGGAGAGCCCAGCCCATTGCATTGACCCCAGCAATAACAGTCATCCATTCCCGATCTCCAGGCTGTACAAGCTTGGGATTCCTAGCTCTTTCAGATCCAGTCACCACTCTGACAGTCCCAATAACCCCCATCTGAAAGCCTGTCTCATCAAAGTTGTAGATATTCTCTTCCAGAATCCCATACTTTGCAATGGTGTTTTGTACGAGTCTAAACCACCCACGGATAACCTCAGGATCCTCACATAGTGCACGTTGATGGTCGTACTTGCGGGAGAACTTGGATTTCAGCTCTTCATAGCGATTGACAAAGTTTCGTACCCAGCATTCACCCACTGTGGGTGAGGGGTTGATTCCTCGACTGGCAAGAAGGAGATTGGCCATTTCTCGTACAGCTGCAACCCGGGGTGGCTGACCTCGCTCATCCATGGCTAGAATCCATTGAACAAGTGATTCTTCTTCTGTAAGGCTAAGTTTTCGGTTCTTTGGGGGAATGTCCACGCGTGCTGTACGACCAGAGACACGGTGAGTGAGGGTTGAGCGAGGGACATCATACAGCTTTGCTGCAGCTCGTATGCTTGAAATTTGATCATTTTTAAGTGCTTGAATGGCTAAAAGAAGCCTTCCTTCTTGAGCAGAGACTTTATTTCTTTGAGTGGTTGACATTTTTGTTGAAAAGCATTCTTGTTGTATGGCAGGTGGGAAGTGGCTCGCTTGCTTATGTGGCTCGCTCGCTTATCGATTAGTTAATGCCTTGTAAAAAAAAAGAAAAGTAACTAGTGGCTGCTCCGGATCTGCAGTGGTAGCCCAACTGGAAAGCGGCGCTCTCAAGCTTTCAGCTGCCTTTTCATACAACAGCCCCAATCGTCATGACCTCGAGATCCAAGCGTGTTATTCCCGATAGCGTAAGGCTTAGCCCAATTCCACACGGGCTGGCAAGGAATTAACTCTCGTTTTGCTGGAACAGAGATATATACTAGGATACCTAATAGACTGAATAGACTGTATGTTGTATTTTCAATTTTCTGAGCTTCAAGAAACCATCTGTGAATCATTAATCATCTGTGTAAATTGAAATGTGTAAAAACAAATCACAATGGGTTCTCAATATTTTGCTTGGGATTTCCTGCACTTTGAAACTCAAGCCCCAAAGAATTCGCAAAGAATGGACCTTTCCTCGGCCCCGTGAACTCATGTCATCAGTCCCGCTGGCAATTTGACAATGAGCTTGTTTCTCGTTGGTTTGATGTCAAATCTTGAGGTTGGTGGTGATAAAAATCCCTGTTCATTCTAGCCGCACGCACATTCCCCGATTCATTCTCAACAAACCACGATAGCCCCGTAATTCCAGCGGGCTTGTTACAAATACCAGTTGGAGCTGTGGCTTTGCAGTGGCGGCATGATTATCATTATCCTTTTTTGTTCATAAATTTGTTACAGATGCCCAACAGGCCCAGCTGTGGTGAAATTGGAAAGTCAGCTAGTTCCGCGCTAAACAAAGCTTCGTGAAGCAGCCCTCCTTTTCATTGGGCTTAAACCCGCTATAAGTACGGGGGAAATTGACCTCATGTTCCGGGCTCCCGTAGATTTTGAAGAATAATAAAAGTATTCCGTATATTTCCTTTCCTTCTTGACGCTCCGCCTTGATGTTGATGTTGATTTTCTTTTTAATTTTTCGTTCCCTTCGTCGTTGATATTTTGGCCTTAGCCATCATAAGCAACGATGAGGGCGGACTTGATTGCGTTATGGACCACCATCATAGGGACGTATTCAAGTAAGTTTTAGACACAATCGCTATTTGTGGTGGCAGATTGAAACACCTCGACACCCTTTATCCAGTTAAATGACTAAATAGCTGTAATTCCAGGCCTCGCTGCTGCTGTGGCACCCGAATCTATTCAAGCTCTTTCCGTGAGAGCGCTCCCGAACGCTCCCGATGGGTATACACCTGCTGAAGCCAGTTGCGGTGAAAGTCGCCCGACGGTTCGCAGCGCAGCGTCCCTTTCACAAAATGAAAATCTCTGGTTAGAGAAAAGAAGACAAAAGGCCACTGATGCGATGAAAGATTTTTTTGGCCGCGTTACCATTGCAGGTTTCGATGCGCGGTCTTACATTGAAAACAATGCCAAAAATATCTCTGCACTTCCGAATGTTGGAATTGCGGTTTCCGGCGGGGGATACAGAGCCTTAATGAATGGCGGTGGCGCATTGAAGGCGTTTGATAGTCGGACAAAAAACTCGACCGGCCCCGGGCAGCTGGGCGGCCTGCTGCAGTCAGCCACATACCTATCTGGTCTGAGTGGTGGTGGATGGCTCGTCGGATCACTTTACATCAACAATTTGACCTCTGTGTCAGAGTTGGAGGCGGATGAGGATGGGTCGGTATGGGAGTTCAACAATTCTATTCTCGAGGGCCCTACATGGAAGGGCATCAAACTACTCAATACCATCGATTATTACAAAGAAATATATGATGCCGTCGAGGGGAAGAAACAGGCTGGGTTTGACGTTTCACTTACGGATTATTGGTGCGTTTTGTTCTCTCCTTGGGACACTTATCTATCAAGCTCGTTGATTTGGAGAAAATGGAGCTGACAGTTTTGCGCATCAAAGGGGCCGAGCTCTATCGTACCAGCTTATCGATGCCCCTGAAGGTGGACCAGCTTATACATGGTCCTCTATTTCCCTTGGACAGGATTTCAAGGACGGAAATATGCCTCTCCCCATTCTGGTTGCGGATGGCAGGAATCCCGGAGAGTTGTTCATCGGAGGCAATGCCACAGTATTCGAGTTTAATCCTTGGGAATTTGGCACATTCGACCCGACCATCTTTGGCTTTATGCCCTTGGAGCTCCTCGGGTCGAAATTCGAATCAGGGTCCTTGCCCCGGTCGGAGCCCTGCGTGAGAGGCTTTGATAACGCTGGCTATGTCATGGGCACATCATCATCCCTCTTCAACCAGTTCTTACTGAACTTAAATGGTGTTGATATTCCAGGATTTGTCAAGGATGCATTTGAATCTATCCTTGAAAGCATTGGGAGAAGCAACAACGATATTGCAGCGTACGATCCCAATCCGTTTTTCCACTACTCCAACCATACCTCACCTTTCGCGAAAGAAAAATCTCTCAACCTCGTCGATGGTGGAGAAGACCTGCAAAACATTCCTCTTCATCCTCTGATTCAGCCAGAGCGGCACGTCGACGTCATTTTTGCCGTGGACTCTTCTGCCGACAACAAATTCAACTGGCCAAATGGCACCGCGCTTGTCGCAACTTATGAGCGCAGCATAACTTCCAGCATTGCTAATGGCACCGTGTTTCCAGCCGTCCCTGACGTGAACACCTTCGTAAATCTGGGACTCAACAAGAAACCCACGTTTTTCGGATGCGACAGTGCAAACATGACAGGCCCATCTCCTCTGATAGTCTACATCCCCAATTCACCATATGTAGCTTTTTCCAATGCATCAACCTTCCAAATGGAATATTCCGACTCCCAGCGTTTCGAGATCATTCAAAATGGGTACAGCGTTGCTACCATGGGTAACGGTACTGTTGACTCGGACTGGCCTACCTGCGTTGGCTGTGCCATGCTCAGCAGGTCGTTTGAACGCACAAACACGCAAGTTCCTGAAGCCTGTAAGAAGTGTTTCAAGACCCATTGTTGGGATGGACGAATTAACAGCACTGTTCCTTCAGTGTACGAGCCAGGACTGCTGCTTGGACCCTTGAAAACTACCAGTATCGCATCTTCGAGCATTGCCCCATATTCTTTCACTTTGCTTATTGCTGTTGGTGTGGCAGAGATGCTATTGCAGCTGTCCACGTAATCCTTCATTTCGATATTTCCAGACCCCCTTTCTCAATCTTTTTCAAATATGTTCTGTTCATTTTGATATCATTTCGGGATACCATTTATTTTTTCGCTTCTTGATGGCAATCGTTATATATCCGCTTTATATTGCTCTCACCACTTTTTTCTTTTTTCTTATCATCGTACTATTATTGTAATTGCAACTGATTGGCTCGAAGGAAGTGTTCGCGGATAGGATATATTTATAGCACGGACTTCGACTTTCGAAGTGAAATTTTTCCATTGGTTTCAAATCGACAGAAGATTAAATTTTATTTACGACTTTGCTAACTGAATCTGGCTGTTGTAAATTTGAAACTATAAACAGGCAGTCGCGAGGTCTTCATTGAAGAAATAATGCAGAATACCAATTACACATAACAACCATGCCAAAGAAACAAGCATCCAGAAACCATCCACGAAATAGGCTCATTCTCCAATAGGCATTCTTTCTCGATGATTTGAAATCGTGAATTCCTCAGTTACTAGTAGTAGTGGTTGGTTACGAGTTTTAGTTATGGCGGTTACTCCTATTCGACATATCACGTGGTAGCACACAACAAAGCCAAGCCTATTCTGGGATTTAACCCTAACTCCCATGTTGCCTGGACAACGAACTCCGTATCATCAACAAGATCCAATGGCGATTTGTTCACCCAACTAGGCTCGTCATTAATACTCCTCCATGTCTAAATAGGTCTCTCTTATTTTGTTTATTTAAATTCATTTCAGCTTTTAGCCTTTTCCTCAAGCGTGATATCCATCGCATGATTGACGCGCCCAACAATCTGCAGACCAAGCTTCATGATATCTGCCGCGAAAGCTATTGGGCTCCGGCAATTTCTACTCCTGTACTGTGACCACCTTTCTTAAATACCATATATTTAGGCCCAAATATGGCTCGAAGAGCAACAGCAGCTTCTGTCCCAGGAAGCCCTCCAAAACGAATGACTCGGGCTAGGGCAGCTCAAAATACAGGGATTTCGGACGCACCAGCTATAGCAGTCCAAAACGAGGCAGCGGCAGCCGATAAAAAAGCAGCTCCGGCAAGAGGAAGACCGAGGACGAAGACAGCAGATACCACAACAACGGCGAAACCAGCGTCAAGGCGAAAGGCTTCCAATGCGACGACATATGCAGACGGGGTCGAACCCAAGAAACAACGAGTCAAACGAGGAAGAAAGAAAACAAACGAGGTGGCCCAGGATTCCAGTGCTCTTGATGGTGATTCCAGTGATGACGAGATGGACATTGTCACCGTTAAGCCAAAATTGAAAATGGCATCTTCTACTTGTAAAACAGGGTCTGTCTCAAGAGTTGCGGCTGGGACGGATAGGAAAGCTGCCCCAATCCTTACAAAACAGAGTCAAGAGGAATCCGGGAATTTCGGCGACAGCGACGACGACGACGACGAACTGGCACAGCCGGGGCCGCCGAAGAGACTACAAGGAAGACCAAAGACTACCTCAACTACGAGGAAGAGTAAAGCTGTAGCTACCGGAACCTCCCAGAAAGCCCCAGTAGGACGACCGAAGAAGGCCATTGCAGTGACAACAGATGATGATACTAAGGGTACGAGCAAGACGATACATATTTCAGCAGCGTCCCTAACAGCCGCGTCGGCTACCTCCAGAGCTCGAACAACAGTTGCCACAGTCCCAAGGAAAAAAGTTACCTTCCTTGACATGATTACAGACTCCGACAAAGAGAACCAGCCAATCACTTCGTCGACAGCCACTGATCCAAAACAAAAAATTAAAATTGGAATTAAATCTAAGCCCGTTCGAAAGGCCACTGCACCACCTGGCGAACGAGATTCTGCTGGTATTGCAACAGAGGAGAGAAAGAAAGAGCCTCTCTCTCCGAAAAAAGCCACTCAAGTTGCCAGATCCGGATCCTCTGCTAGTTCGGCCGATGATGCTGAAGATGATGACTTGAGCTCGCCTCGACCCCGGATTCCACGCCACAATGGATCTCCGGTTAAGCGAGATCCACATAGGCCATTCAATTCCCCTGTTAAAAAGATCGATTTTGTATCTCCTACTAAACCGTCCTCACAAGGCCCTTCTCCACCGAGAGGCGCTCAATGTGAGCAAACCTTGTTTTCCAGTTCCATACAGGAAGCAATGGCGGATTCAGTAATGTTATCTTCACCACCAAGAAGGCTTCCCCCCTCACCATACAAGGATTCAATGAGAGATTCACCTCGACGTGCTCTATTTCAGCCTATGGGATTGTCGTCTCATTCTGAAACACAGGATATGAAAGTGTATTCACCCTTGAAAATCTCACCCAAAAAAGGCAGTCTTGGTGTATCCTTCCCCCAGTCACCATTCAAGTCCATATCAACTCAGCCCCAGGACAAATCGACCTTACTACAAAGCCCGGCGAAACGACCAAGCTCTCCACTTAAGTCTTTGGGCAGCAGCTTAATAAACGAAACACAAATTCGAAAATCTACAACTCCTTTAGCAATTGAAAACACTTTCCTCTGCCATATCAAACCATCTGCAGTACCGGCAAAACATAAATCTCCCACAAAGCTATTCGATCAAGCCATCAAGGAAGAACTCAATACTGATAGCGCATTCGCCGATTACCCTCTTGGTTGTGGAATGGGTCTTTTTGGGGTAAGGGGTTCATCAGGAGGGCTCGGCGGAAATTCCTATCATCCGGTTTTGGAAGATGCCAGCGATGTTAGCCCTGCTGGGTCTCCTGCACAGGGTTTGAATGACCCGTTTGTCATTTCAGAAATCCTGTCAACACCGTCTGGCTACGTGAGTGGATACGACATTTGTCACCAAGATGCAAGTGTCAGCTCAACAAGGGATTGCATTCCACCAGCAGCGCCATCCCCTCCAATATTCATGAACAGTCGCGCTCCGTTAGTGTATCGTGATGACATAGTTGAAGAATCTGACGACGAACTAATGAAAGACGCCAGCCCATTAAAGCTCAATAATGATCTATCACGACGAAACACACTGCTTGGTGCGGCTGCTGAATATGATATGAGCGATATTGACCGATCGGAAGAGAAATTGGGATTTACTCCCTTGGCCGAGCGGCTAAGCCAGTGGGGTGCCATCAGCCCAGTGAAACGGCGGTCTTCCAGACTTCAAAATCGAGGGATATTTTCCCCTCTAAAACCCAGTGAGCTCGTTGACCATGGTAGCCATGTTAGTGAAAAAGATAATGGACTTGAACATGTACCCCAGCCGCTTGCGCTTAGATTGTCTATTGCTTCCGGAATTCCATGTTCTACTTTATTTGAGGATGGAATGTCTGTGCATCATCGTGAAAGTGTGGATGGAGCTGTCGTTGCTACCGAGTTAGGCAACGACATGGTCAGAGAGAAGTGTGACAAAACTACGAACAACATGATTGGCGATGATGCCATGGACCTCGCGCCAGAGATACTTGAAAACTCGGACGGCGACAATGAGGCATTCGGAGATGAGAATGCAGCTCCTTCTGACTCCACTGTTCCAATCGATCCACGACTCTTTGACGAGGATGTGAGCCGGAGTAAAGATCTGGTCGAGAAGGCGAACCCAATCGTGCTTCCGATGTCTGTCACTCCGGTTCGCTCCCGTGTGTATCCTCGGACAATTCATACTGTCTCAAAAGTGCCTCTGAGACCTGACGGCGACGGTTCTGTGCTGAAAGTTCCACGCAAAAGGGTTCGATCCCTTTCTTCTTCACCCATAAAGAACTCAAGTCGACAGCTTGGAAAGACTAAATTGGTACCGGCACTTTCTCCACAAAAAGCAATGTTGAGTCTAAAGCAAAGTCATGACGACATTGCCGGATGTGAAGCCGAATCGGAGCAACCAAATGAAGCTCCTGATAAATATAATGCCTCAAAGAGTATTCGATCCTCCGAGAAGAGCGCAGCGAAGTCGCCAAGCAAATCAAACCCAGTTAATGACAAAGTTCTCCAAGGAGCAGTTGTCTTTGCAGACGTTCACACTGCCGAAGGGGCTGACGCAAGCGGCATCTTTGTTGAGCTTCTAACTCAAATGGGGGCCAGATGTGTGAAATCATGGTCATGGAATCCGCGAGCGAGCCTCTCTCCCGTGGATAGCCTAGATCCCAAGGAGGGCAAGGTTGGAATTACACATGTTGTCTTCAAAGACGGCGGAGTGAGAACATTAGAGAAAGTTAGAGAAGCTAACGGTCTTGTGAAATGTGTGGGCGTTGGTTGGGTTCTTGAGTATGACTATTTCCCCCGTGCTTTACACCTAGTGCTAAAAGCTAACAATGATATCCAACAGCTGTGAACGCAAAGGCAAATGGCTTGATGAAATCAATTACGGAGTGGACCTTAGGCTAATACCACGAGGTGGGCAAAAGCGCAGAAAGAGCATGGAGCCAAGAGCACTTAGTAATTTTAATGGGAGCATTATCAAGCTTGACTCGTCCACGTCGTCCAACGGCGGAAGATGTAGTGTTAGCGATCGCGAAACATTCCAAGAGTTGATGCGACTGTCACCAACACCACCATCGTCAAGACGTGAATCGATGGAATGGGACAGGGAGTTTATTGCTTCAGAGTCAGAACAGAAGCAGCATCCCGCTTTCCAGTCAACACCGACAAATCCTTCCCGGTCCGTGGCAATGTCACAGAGTTCTGCAGTCGTAACACCTACAACTCCAGACTTTAGTTATGCTTTTGATTTTGATGGTGCTTCGGCTCCATCACCTATAACTCCATATCATCCCTCGCAGGGAACTCAGTTGACTCAGCAGACTTGCCCCCCAAAACAGTTGAGACAGGGACTCTTCGGTAATCACTCGGATAGCCCGATGAGCGAGGGGCTTAGAATTAGGTTAGAGGCGGCTAGAAGGAGGAGTTTGGTTTGGAAACCAAAAGTTGGAAGTCCGCTTGGTCGTCCAGGAATGAAACTTTAAATCATATTACGATATGATTGTTATTTGGGGTTAAAGTGAGAGTTGTGTAACTTTTATTTCGTGAGATCTTTGTTCGGGTGGTTTAGCTTCTTCTCTCCTTAGGTGTCTCTTCTTGTACTGTACAGTAATACTATGTTCTCTGTGAGTAGTAATCGCCTCTGCCTTAATATATGTTCACATATTCTTTTCCGTCCTTTTTCCGAAGTGTTTTTATATACGAGTGCAACTTTGGGGGCTTGCGAACTTGGCGAATATGGATTGGCCTTCCTTTTACATGCTTTCCCCTTTCTAGCTGATTTTTGATATGATAGTTTCGACTTGATGGTTTCAAAGAAATTTATTTCAAGCTGGCCGTTAATTAACTATATCTGGCTTAAAACTGGAAACAACAGTGCAAAACCATGATAAAGGTGTTTAGGCTACTGGGGCAAAAGTGCTCAGTTATCACCAGCGCCAACTGGGGATGACCCACAAATCCAATACCTCCAGTATAACTATAGCAAGCTAATGAAATCTAAAGAAATTGATCATTTTCCCTAACTACATTCCTATTAACTTTTCGCCTTTAATCACAAGCAAAAAAAAAAAAAAAAAAAAAAAAAAAAAATCGCCGTAATCACATCTCATTCAATTCACCCTCCTCCCCCATCCGGTCCCGATAAAAGCCTGCAACCAAAAACGCCAACTCCAGCGCCTGCTTCTCATTCAGCCTCGGATCGCAGAAGGTGGTATAGCGTTCTCGTAAGCCATCCTCCGTCAACCCCGCCGCACCACCGACGCACTCCGTCACCGCTTCACCAGTCAGCTCCAGGTGCATGCCCCCCAGAAAAGAACCCTGCGCGCGATGGATTTCCAGCGCCTGCCGCAGCTCAGACAAGATATCGTTGAACTGGCGAGTCTTGAGACCCGATGGCGTGGTGAGTGTGTTGCCGTGCATGGGATCGCATTGCCAGACAGGAGTGTGGCCAGAGGATTGAACTGCCTTGATGTGTTGAGGGAGGAAACTGGCGATTTTCGAGGCACCGTACCTTGAGATGAGCGTTACTTTGCCAATTTCCTTGTCTGGGTTGACGGTGTTGAGAAGGTCGATGAGTTCATCCGGATCCATCGTCGGGCCGATTTTTATGCCGATGGGGTTGGCGATGCCGCGGAAGAATTCTACATGTGCGCCTCCAAGTTGGCGTGTGCGGTCGCCTATCCAGAGGAAATGGGCGGAGGTGGCATAGTGGCTACTTGGTGGGTGGGCAGTGGAGGTAGACTGGTTGGATTTCGCTACCGCCTCGGGGGGGTCACGGCAGAGTCTAGCGAGGCTTTGTTCATAGTCAAGCATCAGGCCTTCATGGCTGGTATAGATGTCCACAGTTTCGATTCCGCGGTCTGTGTCGAGGCCTGCAGTTCTCATGAAACGTAGGGAGTCTGTCACTCTGGATACGATCTGTTCATATTTTTCCTTTATAGATGGCGCGATTACGTGACCGAGTCCCCAATCCAATGGAGAGTGTAGGTCAGCTAAACCAGAGGCAAGGGCTGCTCTAAGATAATTTAAGGTTGCAGCGGAATGGAAGTACGCAGATACGAGACGGGATGGATCAGGTTTCCGAGAAATGGGATCCGGCTGAAAGCCATTGATGTTGTCACCACGGAAGGACGGCATCGTCACACCGTTGATTGTTTCCGTGGTGCTTGATCGAGGCCTATAAATTTGTGAGCATCATATGCAAAGAACGCGCGATGAATTGTATTACTTACTTGGCAAACTGACCGGCGATCCGAGCAATTCTGATTACTGGCTTATTCGCTCCTACGGGAAAGAGTTAGCAAGAGACTGACTGCTATTTGATGATATTTAGCGTAATAATATTACCCCAAATCAAAATTAAGCTCATCTGTAATATCAATTTGATCTTCGACTCGATGGATTCTTGGTTGCAGTAATCAAAGAGTTCCGCGCAGTCACCTTTCAGGTTTTATGTCAGTTAGACCAAGTTCATACAATGGCCTCCTACAAACCGATATAAGAACTGTAAGGACCCTGTTACTTACCCCCTTGGAGGACAAACGCTCTCCCAAGTGCTACATTTTTCAGGCAATTCTTCAAATTAACAATCTATGGCAGAAAGTTAACCTTCATACTTATCACATTTGTTTTTCAGTTGTCATGATTCATACCTCCTGGGGGGTCACCAATGGAGGTAGATGCTGAAGCTTAATCAAGGCATCTTTTAGGCCTTCTTGATCTTCATATGTAACTTCCTGCTTTATAGGCTTCGTAGTCCAAGCTATTCCGTATATCAGCTATAATATACTAAAGAATGCATAACTTGAAAACATACATGAAGGAGTCCAGGTATTTCTAGACTGCTTTTCCTGGGTGGAAGTCATATTAAATTGGTATCTCTGGTATACTACATAAGAGGCGCCTAGCTCGCAATGTAGTTTGGGCGTATACGATAGTGGTTTAACAATAAGTTTTCCTAGAATTTGATTACTGCTCTTCGCAAAACGCAAGAGAATATCTCTAGTGCGGGGTGAGGAGAGATGGTATCTAACCAGGCGTAACACTAAAATACGAGTAATCGTAGCACACAGATTGGACAAAGTAGCCTTCAAATTGAACTTTGTAAGTAGTAATGAGGTCAGTTTTCTAGAAAAATCCTGCCGAACTCGTGAGTCATGAAAATACTACATTCAATCGGTGGTTGTGTAGTTATTTAACTCTGGGATAGGCTATGGGGCAAAAAACCTAGCCACTTATGGGGTCACGTGGTAGGAGTCTGTTTGCCGCTCGGCGTTGTAACATTGCTAAAGTCTATATGGAAGCCTTGCTCAATTATCTTCGCAAGGGCCCATAACCCATCGACCCTTACAAGCCTCAGACTTTGACATATACACCTATGGCTCCCTCGAGCCGTCGAAAACCCCCCGCGACGGGCTCCAGTCCACACAATAACAACGACGATAATAATGACAATGGCGAATCAGCTTCTGAGTTTCCTACAAATGCTGAAGACCGTGCCGCGGCGGCTGCGCTTTCTTCTCTCAATACCGCCAACGAAACCTTTGCCTCCGAACAGGACAGAGGCGTTCCCAGCGGTGCGGTGCTACCCTCCGCAGCTGATCAAGAGGCACTGGGTAAAGCGATGAGCAGATTGGAAATGATTGCCGGCGTGGATAAAGCTGGGGGTTCAAGTGCAGGTTGGGCTGCAGGGACTGGGAAGAATGATATGAATGCGAAAAAAGATAAGGCTGATGGGAAGACGGATGGGGGCGAGGGGGAGAAGGTGGTGAAGAAGAAGGCGGTAAAGGTTGCGGCGGAGGATGTTGGACTTTTGGTGAGTTTAGTTGATATCGTATTTCTCCTTGAATGGTAGTTACATTTGGCGTCTGCTAACCGGGTGATTGGTATGTAGGTGGATCATCTTGATCTGACGAAGGTAAAGGCTACGGAACTCTTAAAGGCACATGAGGGAGACCCAATCAAAGCTATTCGCGCATACATCGCGCCTCCCCAAGCATGACAAACCAGGAGTGGGAAATTATCGACTCACAGAACCCTTGACATGGAAAATCTTGGCGACAAAAGAATCTAAGATGAACTAAGGGCTCCCCGTTCAATTTCAAAGGGGCTGGGTTTGCCCTGATAAACTGACGCTGGGATGCATGGACGAAGTCATTTTAACCGTGTTTTCCTTGGCCGTGTGACGATCGAACTGCAGCTCAAAAGCGCTGAATAGAGAATGGGGAAATCAGCATTCAATTTCTAATGGGAGCTGCCGTTGGTTGGATTTGCAGAGCTCAAGGGTGATTCACAAATGAGTGAAATGACCTAGTGATATCCCGACAACATATATTTGGTCACAGAATATGAAGAAAGTTGACTACTGGGAAGCAACGTTCTTATTTTTGTTTAGGACATCCAATGCATTTCGCTGCGATAAGTAGATAAGTAATTATCATGGTTCCGATCAGCTATTCTCACTTCATCCAAAACACACCAGGACTGCTGGTTGCGTCACGTCAACTCGGATCTAAGTACAGTACAGGTGACCTGGCCCTTTTGCCAATATCTAATAAAGGCGAGTTGATGAAAATGTTTCTAACCGATTATTTTATATGACTATCAACTGGTATAAGACAAATGAGACAAATACAGTAAGCTCACTTCCCATAAAGGGTGCAACGTTGTGCCCAACATGTATATTTATGTACCTTCCATCCAAATGACAGTTTAAACTAAAGTATTAAAGATTTCCGGAATCATCACGATCATTATTGACATCACCATAAGATTAATGGAGTGAAACGAAACGTCCTAAACCCCATACTGTCCACTCATCTGCTCGTTCGATGCTCGGATCCCTCACTTTCATGACTTTGTTCAAGCTTTTTGTTTTCAAGCCCACTGTCCTCGAATATGGTCCAAGAAACGCCCCATCCTAGTAAAACTAACACCGCAAGAGCCCACCAAACCGCTCCAACGATATTATACTTGAGCGCCAGCCCCAAACCCCAACCGCCAACCACCGGGCCCAGCGTCCTCGCGGCGGAGGTCACGCTCTGCGCAACTCCATGCACAGTCCCCAGCACGCTCGGATCCGTAAGCGAATTATTAACCAGAATAATAGCCGCAGGAAGCGAGAATGTTCTCGAAATGACCTGAACAGAGAAAACCGCTGCCAAAGCTGGCCAGACGAGATACGGCCGGTTCGGTACGAGAGCCAGGAACCGAACCAAGAAGTTGGCAAGAGCGGGAAATGGTATGAATGCACGCAGCGATTTCAGGGTGACTAGGTGGAAGTGGACCCGCGAATAGACGAATATCTGTAACGGGAGGCCAAAAAGGCCGATGATGGCGGTTGCGAAACCGACTTTGGAGCTTGGCATGCCAAGACCACCGCCAAAATGGAAAAATCCACGATGGCTTCCTTCTGGTGCGCGAGGGGTGGGTAAGAAGACGAAGATTAGCGCATTAAAGGCGCTGAGGTGTACGGCGAGGACGAACTGGGTGAGAAGGGTGAGTAAGACATTCTTCGTCCAGATTTGAGAGAAGGACATGCGTTTCCGCCGAGGTATCCGCATTGGCCCACGTCGTCCTGCTGGCACCGATCCTTGGGCGCTCCTCTCCAGATCGATGGATTCTCCTGCTGTCGGGATATCGTAGGTTTCATCGATTGAGTGGTAGTTGTGTAGAGTGTGGTCAGGCTTAAAGTTGCGACATATCATTTTACCGATCTTCCGACCCCAGTCGCTTCGATACTTGGCTGTTTCATGGGTCTTGAAGAGAAGTCAGCCATGGAGATATAGAGGCTTCAAAGAGTCAGCCAGCATCGGGATGAAGCCCACCTCGTCTAACCCAAATAAAACCGCTAGCGCGGATATCAGGACAATAACCGCGCTTATGACATTTGGTAGGGCGTATGGCCATTTCTTCATCCACCAGACGCCGTTTTGGCCGCCAAAAAATGAATGTGGGCCGAACAGACCCGGATAGCTAGTCAGAGGGTCAGCGAGAAGTCCACCCAAAATAGGCCCTATTATGACGCCGATATTAAAGCACATTGGCTGGAGTAAGAAGGCCCGAGATTGATACCTGGCATTCAGTTAGCCAGAGTTTTCTCTAGAGGATAAATACCACAATCGCATTCCGACGGGGAGATTAACCACGAGTTCAAAAATGAACAGGCACAGAATGCGGAAACGGGTTCCATTTTTTAGAAAGCGAACATACTTTTTTTCTACGATAAGTTCCGAAATTATGGTTCGCATGACACCGATATTGCTGTTCAGAGCACCTCCAATGGTGCGAAATATTGTAGCAGCAATAAAGGACTGAGAAAATCTAAATCCCACACATGCAATGGAAGTTCCAAAGAGGCCTGCCACGAGCACCCTTTTTCTTCCCATAAAATGAGTGTCCGCAAGCCGGCCCCATATCATGGCCGTCGCGAACTGTGCTGCAGTAGAACAGCCCTGTAGAAAACCAGCCCGAGCAGATATCGCCGAGTCCGGCAGGGACGGGTCAAAGGATTTGAGTTGGTAAAATATATACGCTTGGAGGGAAGTTTGAGTCAAAGGCTCGGACAATCGAGCAATGTTCAGGATGATCAATTGGGTTTTCTTTGGTAAAGAAGCCCATGATACTGGCTTTTCCTCGTCTGGTTCATACCCATTTGATTCCACAACATTCGCTGCGCTTGTATCATGCTCTCCAACAAAAGGTGGCCGTCCACTGGGAGAATCGGAAGCTGGCAAGTGTCCACTGGTGCCGCTTTGCCCCAGAAGACGATCGTGAGGGTCATAGGCATCGCCCTTCAAACTTGACGAAATAGACGATGAATCGCTATCACTATTTTCGTGAAGGTCACCCTGGAGCCTCACTCCATCAGCTCTAACCGTCGCAGTAGCATCATCGCTATTATCGAGAGCGTTGCCCGCTCCACTCGACGGTACATTTCCACGTAAAGCAGAATGAGGGGAGAAGCTTTCAAGAGAGCTCATTCAAAAAACCGAGATGCCAGTCCAATCCTTCAAGATCGAAGTCGCCAGCGTCGGGCAATAGTATTCATGTGCCACGGAAAGTCACCTAGGTGACTCATTCTTTGCTGCTTTTGTGAGGGATTTAAAAAAGCGACAAGGGGGAATTAAAAAAAAAAAAAAAAAAAGCAAAAAAAAAAAAAAGCAAAAATAAAAGCGGAGATATATCACCGCCATTGCCGATGCGCCTATCCCCTGACGCAGGCAGGAGTAATTCCCGTAACCAGACTCCGCTAACAGCATTATCCCCTCGTCTGGGGGCGAGGCAACAATTAGCGTATTTTTTAGCGTGTACATTAGTGTATTAAATACGCGAAAACTACTGGATTATATGAGAGATCGGCTGTATTAGTGTGTTTTTATGTAATTTATGTAATCTATTTGATCTAGCTCTAATTAATATCATGAAAATGGAACTCCTTCCAACACTCTCTTTTCAAGCAGAGAGGAATATTATTACATGCTTCACAACCATACCTTGTTCTTGAAGTTCTTTCTTTATTCTCCTCTGCTATTTTTCTTTTGTACTGACATCAGATACAAGTTTGAGTATATGGCAAGGAGATCTGATGATGATTTAGATCTGAATTTGATCAAGTAATGAATAGAGGATTTAAATATTAAAAGAGTTGAAGATAGAGCTGTTGACAGAACTGCATATGAAATAGAGTAGTATTATCAGAGTCAGTAGTAATCAATTGATGAAAAATATAAACATTGATAATAGCATGATCAATAATCCAGTACAGAATTGCCAATCAGATTTGATTAATAAGCATATGAGTTTCATAAAAAGCTTTATACTGATTTGCTAGATCAATCCCATTCATATTATGATTGTAATCATCAATAATGATAGAAATCTTCACAGCTTTTTACCAGTTATTGTCACACCCTTGGTTGTGCCAAGGCCCCGTGACGGCTCCACACGGCCCATCGTTTCCCCTCGGATAATCCCATCTATCCCATGACGTCACGCAGGTGTCCGAACCGGTTTCCAACCACCCTATGACATCATTCGGATGCAATAGAAGAGGATCCGATTGATGAGATATGAGAATCCTGTTTCTATACGGGGTCTGGATTCCTTCTGGCAGATCAATGCAGCGCCACTGCGGAGTTGCTTCGGCTACCCTCGCTCATAGAGTGAGGGGAGGATGGCTGCCCGTTGTCTATATAGAATAGCTAGATGCTGGCTCTCTATTCCAGGAGCCAGCGATTCGTCTTTTATCTTTTGACAATAAGATACCAGAGTTACCACTGTCCTCATACAATATTCTTAGTGTGCCGAGTACCTCTGGTAGTTCAGTATTTGTATAGTATTCTACGAGTTCGCGGTTCAAGCGAGATAATCAAGCCCACCCATAAGGCTTCCCATTATATACCATCCTCCTCTGTGCCGCTGCCGAGTAGCAATCGCCTCGGCGCCGTCACATTACAGTTATCTTCAAATATTCTTCAGATTTGAAAGCTATTAATAGAGCTCAATTCTGAACACTTTCTGACACATTCAACAAAACTGTCTGACAGATGAATTGTAGACAGTAGTAATATTATGTTATTGTCTTTTCATTCAAAACAGAGAACCTCATTTTGAGGTATTATATACAGAGTATTGACAAAAATATGAAAGAATAGTTCAGAGTTCTTTTGTAACGGGCGTACATCGATTAACGATCTAGCACTATTTTAAATACAGATTACGAATTGATTAAGGAAAGAAAGAGAAAAGAGATCAGAAGGAAAGGTTGCACGAAGGGGGTTCTTATAGAGGGGAGATCGGGGCGGAAGAATATCAGAAGCCGCCCCGCAGTGGAGCACGGAGCGGAAGAACATTGAGGGTTACGCGGAAGAATCGTTAGAACTACGCGAGCGCGGAGCGTGAGGAACACGCGGGCGCGGAGCGTGAGGCAGAAGGGGTTGGTTGCGTAAGTTAACCACTAACGGGTGCTAACCCGTCATATTTTTAATTCTTACAGAAAAGAAGGCAGATTGGCAGAATGAATGATTTCACAAACTTCAATTCCTTGCTTTCAAAGATAATGAAATAAAGCAATAAATGTGAAGTAGTTATTCATATGAATTGAATAATCAGCAATCTTTTTATTGTTATTCAATTCTGAATGCTGCTCAGAGCTCTGCTGCTTAAAACTCTGCAAGAATACAAGCAATCATTCAATCAATTTCATCATAAGAAATTCAGTTTTGATTAATTCTGAAGTCTGAAACATCATATTTATACAGAGATTATTATGAAATATGGTGTGGCGTACTTACGCCCCTACCTACCCCTCGCTGATTCCCAGAGCTTCCGCTCCACCCCTTCCTTCTTCCGCCCCTACTCAAGGCTTCTATCCTTCCTTTTATAACCCTGCGATCGCTCCTTCCGCAGGAATCAATCACTGTAAATAAACAAGCATGTATATATAGGGGCGTCCGCCCATCTTTATCTTTTAGAGAATCAGACGTGTATTATCCTACTGAGCTGCGTACGCTACATATGGAAAAAGTTTAAAGATATCTCCATTTTTTTAATTTAAAAATCTTATATCTTTGTCTGATTGATTTTTGAGACATTTTAATTGTGTATTTGAATCATTCAAAGAATCAAATCATCATCTCATCGATGAAGAGATTTGAATTTGAGTTGTAGTATTTCTGATATGTTATATGAAAGTTAGAGTAAAAAGACTCTAACTTCTGTATGAAGAAGAAGTAGAAAGATTTCAGTCTGTGAGAATTGAATATATGAATATATCTTTTGATCTGCTCAAATCAATACTGTGTTATATAAAATCTTGATGAATGAAGTGGCCTCTGTACATCATTTCTATTTCAATAATTTTCAATTACTGAAGATTTATATACTTTCATATAAATAATCTGTCTAAGATATACCTTGATTTCTGCAGAAGTAGTTGACTGTCAATTCTGTGAATTGATGGCTGAATTTCTTGATATCTGAATCTCTGTGTAGACATTGATAGAACTGGCAATATTCTGAATATCTGTCTTTGAGATATAGAGAGAGAATAGGGTGTATGGATTCCATGGATCAATATCATTGGACAAATTGACAGCTGGGAGGTGATGAAGAGATTCTATAAATTTAAATCTAATACTCTCAAGAGACGGAATGTCTGCAAGAAGGGCACTGATAGATCACTTTTGCTTTACATCTGTTTTTGTACTGTCTAATAAAAAAATCAGTCAATCTGATTAAAAGAAGCATTGAAGAATTGGAAATCACTTGTAGAATCCATATTTCTATCCCAGGGTGGGGCCAGGGGTGTCACATCCACGGTGGATATAAATATGGATCAAGAAGAGAAGGTTCCAAGGTTACAGAACACGTAGAGCAGAAAACACAAGATAGTGAAGCAGTATCAACAAATCAGATTACATAGATTTTAGTATGAGAAATTATTGGTTGGTACTTCTAAGCTAACAGCTGAGTTATTACACTAATGGTATTGCGCTAATTGTTGCCTCGCCCCCAGACGAGGAGATAAACATTGCCTGACTTGGTTAGTTGACCATATCATCGAAACCATTTCGTCATTATTAGGTCATGCCGATAAAAACTAAGTTAGCGTCCATAGCCATTGTGATTTCACAGCCCACGGCATGCTAAATTGATTTGAGCCTGGAATCAGCTACCAAATCGGTATAGACTGGGATATGATTGATATACCATGGCGATCAAAAATCTCAGCAGGGAAAAGAAGTTAGCTAAAACGAGCAAGCACACGACAGCCCTCTGGAGATATCTAGGTTCAATATAAGACTACCTAGCAACCAATCATATCTATGAATATCCGTTTAAAGAAAAGCTGAATAAAATATTTATGGACCCAGCGGGCTTATTCAGCGTTATCCATTCTCATCAGTACTATTTCCATCTCCAATACTAACAATCCTGGAAAGCGTACTGTGGCCGGGAGACTAACGGCGGAGAGAATATTCAACGTATGAACCAACATATAACGAAGATGCGTCATTTGGAACAACTCTAATACTTTGGATACCCCCAACTCACCGAAACAATCCCACCAATCCCATCCTAGACACTGAGACATTTTTCCACCCCAGCACACTTCATCGTCACAAGCAGGAATGCATCTCACTATAGGAATGAACCCTCAAAGCTTACTCTTCACCGTCTGTCCGCACTCCCAAGACTCTCCCGCTTCTAACGTCTGCCACCCCACCACTGAACCCGCCTCAACACATATCATATTCTTATAGCCGTCATCAGGGGCGAAATCGGCCATTCCTTTCGCCTTCTCGATCCAGGGGTTCCAGACCACGATGTCGTTAAGAGATTCGCGGTAGATGGAGAAAACGGGGTTGTTGTCGTCGTCTGCGACGACGATTGGAACTGTTGGGTTAAGTGATTGATAGACCCGATCTGTTTCTTGGGTGATTGCAAGGGCCCGGGAAGATTCGACGTGGGTTGATGCGTTGAGAACTTTGTCGACGTATGTTTTGGATTGGAGGTTTAGAATGCGGGTTTTTGTGATGTCCTTTTGCACAATTTTAGCCAAATAGCTTCGCATGATC